AGGCTTGTAATAAAATACCTCTCCCAGTCACATCCCTTTCCCACTGACCACAGTATTGAGCTTGAATTCCCAGCAGTATCATTACTAGACATTTTTTGCCACCTTTCTGAATCTGAAAAGCTTCCTACATTTAGTGAAGATTAGGTAATGCTACATCCAATCAATAGCAGCTATCAATTCTATGCCTTGTTCAGCAGAACAAGTTGATTAAAGTAAGGAAGAAGGGTCACTGAATATTGCTTAAAACTGGATGTTTTTTAAAACCAATCTGTAGTTTGTAGAAAATATATTACTCATAGACAACAGCAAATACTGAAATTATGATAAAATTGGGAGTTATCTAGTTGCCCTTTATAGAACCATAAGGTTATTAAAAGCCAGCTTTTCCAGCCCAAGCACTCACTGGACAGGACTTAAATACATTCACTCTGATTGTCCAATCTCTAGGTTGCTTATGCCATGATCTTATAATTACAAACATTTAATCTCCTTTCAGATTGGCATACCTATAATCGACCCAATATCACAAAGATCAGTAATATTCTAAAGAAATGATAACATCTGTAGAAAAAGTCATGTCCAAATCCACATATTTATACCCATGGTGAGCTTTCTTTCTTCCTTTCTTCCTTCTTTCCTTCCTCCCTTCCTTCCTTCCTTCCTTCCTTTCTTTTTTTTTTCTTTTTTAAGTTGCAGACCCGAGGAAACTAGAAAATCATTGCTCCTGCTCCTAGGCTGAGCCATGCTCAGAAGACACAGATGGAGTGAATATACAACAGTGATCATAGGTCTCTTGGCAGCAGATGTGCTCTGGTTGCACTGGTTTCTAGTGGCTGTTAGTCAAGAACACCCAAGTACAGGTACTCTAAATTAGAGGAGACACAATCTTTCCTTCCTATGTTATCAGTACACCATCACACACTGCTTGTGTCTGAGAACTGTTAGCCTTTATTAGAAATTGTTCAGGAAACCAAGGTAGGTAATCATAAGATGGGAAGGGTGAGGAATCAGGAAATGGAAAATAAAAAAAACTATATTTATCATGTTTTATACAGTATTGAAACACGTCTTTCCAACCAGTTATAACAATATTGTCAGGAAAGGCAGCACTAACACTTTTATTTTGTTACAAGTAAGAAATAAGTCACTTGAAGTTTTCAGACCTACTTGGGGTTCTGGCAATCAACACTCTCTACAGTAAATTGTTTAGGCAATAGCAGCTAGTTCTCATTCTTCCAGGCATCATCAACCACTGAAGAGCTGTGCACTTGCTTTTCCAGACTACTGCTCTTTCTCACCAGGCCATGGCCTAGACAAAAGTGGCTATTATGTTGGTGAAGCCTACAAGACACATCTTGGCACAAACTTTAAGAACACCAAAGATGGAGAGTCATCCCTAACAATTTTTCTCTATGATAGGGGAGCCAAAACACATGTTACACTATAATTTCTCTAAAAAGCAACTTCCTGATGCTATGCTATACTAAGAAATCATATTCAGTTCTATTTCATATCTTTATGTCTACTGATGTCATCACTCTCCAGTGTACAGCCATTAGATACTATTTCTCTCCTACTAAAGTGATATGATTATTATAATAATGTGTAGTGGTTAGCTACTTTACCTATGCTAAAGTGATGTCATTTCTGTCAAGCTTCCATCTTTTGATACGATTGGCATTATTATACAATATATGCTGTCCCTTCCAGTTATTAGATGTGCTGGCCTACCCTACTGTTAGTTTAAATTTTAGGTCCCCAGCCTTTGAAAGCTTCAAGATCATCATTTCTAAATATGTTTCCTATACAATCATATTTCTTGCTTGCTTTAAGATCTTCCCAGACCTTTGTTTTTCTATCACAATCATTGTACCTCCTACTTCACTAAACGTTTCAATACCTATGTGGAAACAACTGGCTTTCTGATTTTTAACAAAGATACTTGCAATAGGTATTGGTGTATTTACCTAAAAGTAGAACTATAATAAGTCTTTAACTACCCAAACCAGCAAAGGTTAAGAAAGCTGGAGGGCTTTCACTTAAATATCTGAATTTATTTTGTTATACAGATCACAAAAAATGTAAAATCAATGAAGCTAATGTTCTTTTCCATAGTAATTTTTTTCCTTTTCCTAGCATCAAATACAAGAAAGGCTTTACTTTCTACACTCAGACTTGTACATGATTTTAGCTAATCATTTGCCTTTCCTTTACTAGTGTTCTTACAGGGGAAAAAGCAGCTGAATATACCTTGGCTTCAATTTTCCTGAGGACTTCAAGAGATGGTGGAGGATGCTACTTCATACTCAAACCTCTGCTAGGGGGCTGGCAGCCTAGCAGAGAGTGAACCATGGTCATATCCACAGAGCTGTGTCTCAACCATTGAAAAGCTTTACCTCTGCTAAGGATAAAGAATGAAGAGCCAGTAGTGTTTTTCACTATATTCTATTTTAATTATATCTGAAGAAATTACAAATGTTTTTGCTACACACCCAATCATATAAAGTGTATTATAAAACATAATCTTTATCTTTAAATAAAACTACCAAAGTGCAAATAATCTTTTTTGGCTCTTAAAAGAATTTAGAGTGGTAAGAATGAAAAGTGGGAACAATTATGGTCTGCATTGAATACTGTTCCAGTGTGATTTTAATGTCATAGCATAGACTTTATTGTATTCATTCTATTATTGGCCACATATTTTCAGTGCCAAAATTTGTAACCATCATTGGAGAGTTCATGATTCAGAAGAGAACTAAAAACATTGGAGAACTCGCCAAAACACTCTTTCATGAATTCTGTCTTTGCAAGTTTCTTCTCACTTGATAAGAGCATGAGGAACCTCTTATGATACTAAGCTATGGGACAGATGTGCCTGCACAACAATACCCACTATAAAACTTACAGCTGAGAAAGTAAGAATTCATATATTTCTACAACTTCAGAAAGTGCTGATCATTCGAGCGGCATCAGTTCAACAGTATTTCCAACTTTGAAATGATTTCATTTAATACAGATTCTTAGGTTGGGGGTCTTGCTGTGCCAAAAACAGTGCAGGAACACATTTATAACAAAATCAGAAAGCTATGAAATGTTGTACTTTTAACAGCAAGAATGGCACACTACCACGGAAAACAGTTCCATTAAAACACTTAAAATGCTGTTTGGGTTCCTGACTCAGAAGAGAAGGGCCCAGCGTGCATCAGGTCAGGTTTTCCTGCTTAGGAGAATCAATTGGAAGTGGAGTGCATTAATTACTTCAACAGTGACATCGAACGAGCCTTCCTAATCAAAATAATCGTAGGCACTCTTAAGTATCATCTTTGTTTTCTTCATATTTAATGCTTTATTGGACTTTTCAATAATGATCTCACTACTGACCACTGTAGTTACTGGGTTTCACACACACACACACACACACACACACACACACACACACACACACACAAAAGGAATGAAAACAATGAGAAAGGAAAGTCTATAAAAAGAACACAATGGAAATACAGACTTTTTTTTTTCATTGTCTTTGATGAAAACAGCTAGTCTTAAATGAGTCCACCTTGGCGGACAATTACATCAATCCAAACATGTTAAAGATTGCCGATCCTCAGGAAGGAGGTAAAGTGTAATTATTTTCACAGGAGCCAATATACCTGCCCCTCAAAATTCACCTATGAGGATTATAGAGGCTGAAAACCAATCAATGTATTTTTAAGTGAGTTTCTTTCTAAAGATATGCATTTGCACAGAAGTCTCCACTTCGTTTATAACTTGAAATTAAATAGGAATTTGTAATGTTGATGTACTTCATTTCAGTTTTAAAAATTATTCTTGTCACAAGAAAATCATCTCGAAGTGATATTTGATAAATCAACAAGTATATAGGTATACCTCGTTTAAAATATTTCAAGTGCATATAGTTAAGATAAAGATTGGTTTGAATTTTAAGAGTATATATTTGACAAAAATCTGTATTTCCGTGTCCAATAATTCTCTTCCATCCCTCCACATCACTACTTCACCCCTAATTACAGGCAGAGAAAATTCTCCATTCCTTGGGGGTTAACATACTTCCCCATCATTCTAGGCTTCACAGGAGGCGAAGGGCCCAGCGATACTCATTGTTATCAATGCGGTTACAGTGTCCTGCAAGTTTGGACAAGTTATTGGGTCAGACACTAACTTCCTAAGTAGAGAAATGATGTGTGTTCTTTGTGAGCTCCTCAGCAATGGCTGGAGTCAGTGCTAATTAAGGCCCCACGGCAACATGGTTCCAGAGAGGTCGGTGACTTCTTTCTGACGCCTAAACAGTGCTCCACTCAAAGGAACTGCCCCTAATCTGAAGTGATGTGATGTAGAGCTGGCCTTTCAGATCCACCGTATATTTAAAGGAAAATGACAGTTAATGGCAGGGGTGTCAAGAAAGAGCAGATGGAGGAGCTGGTAGAAATGTCACTCTGCAGCTAAGTTTACCTGCAATTAGTTATTGTGTTGAAGAACCAGTGGACAATGGAGCCCTGGGCACCTTTTTATGACTTTGGTGATCCTAAAATGCCGTGGAGGCAAGATCTACATCAGTCAGTCCCTGGGATAAACAGCTCCCTACAAACTGCACAGCAGCATCTGTATGCACCAGGGCCCAATTCTAGACCTCCTTTTAGCCAAAAGCATTACTCTTGCCCAGTGATCTTCTAGAATTATTACACCACAACAGTTTTAGTGACTGTATTAATGGGAACACAAATAATAAATTCAGGATAAAGAACTTTTCTTAATGGGAATAAGCCATTGTGGTAATTAATCTTGGAGTCATTTTCCTTTGCCCCCTGAGGCACAGAGCTTGAGAAAACCAAATAATATTCAAAGGAAACCCCAGGATTTATTGTCAGTTAGTTTTAATTGACACCTGTACTGTTCACTAGTTATTTGACAATTGTGAGATCTGTCGGCATAGATCTGTTCCTCGCTTGAATATTTCAACTGGCCTGACTAGCTCTCAGTGTTGAATCTCCAGGTTGTGTATGAACACTGCATGGCCCTCAGAGATCTTGTTGCTATTATACTCCAGAATCATTTTTCACACTACAACAGCTAAGGATAAATCAGAGTTCTGGTTTTTAAGCATTGGGTTTGTATGCTTTGATTACAAATTTTACAAAAATCAAATGGATGTTAACCACTCCTTTGTATCCAAGTCCCAAAGTCCCTTGAACAAACTAAATTTCAAGTTTAAAAATTATATCTGCAGGGTTTTTTTTTTTTTTTTTTTAGGTTTCAGGATTATATATTCAAAAGCTGTTTTATCAGCTGGGCGGAGGTGGCACACACCTTTAATCCCAGCACTCAGGAGGCAGAGCCAGGCGGATCTCTGTGAGTTCAAGGCCAACCTGGTCTACAGAGCAAGATCCAGGACAGGCACCAAAATTACACAGAGAAACCCGTCTCAAAAAACCAAAAAAAAAAAAAAAAAAGCTGTTTATTAAAGTCATGATGCATATTCATACATAATATTATATATTTATTCACTGTTATTCTGTCAACATAAAAGAACATTTTTTTCATAATAGAATATGCACGTTTAATATACATTAAAACTTGTACATTGCTGTATATAAGAAATATATATACAAATCATAGAATAGAACTATAGACATTAGAGGCAATTTATCCCACAGCATTCATATCACAGATAAAGACATGGAACCCCTGAGAAGCTGTACTGTTTTCTCTAAGTGACGTGGAAGTACAAGATTAACTTTCTGTTTCCTAAGTACTCTCATACCAGAATGTTTTTTCTTTCTTAATCTAAGTTCAGAATTTACTACAAAGAATAAAACATTCTAGCCGGGCAGTAGTGGCACACATCTTTAATCCCTTTAATCCCAGCACTCTGGAGGGAGAAGCAGACGGATCTCTGTGAGTTTGAGGCCAGCCTGGGCTACCAAGTGAGTTCCAGGAAAGGTGCAAAACTACACAGAGAAACCCTGTCTCAAAAAACAAAAAAACAAAAAAAAAAACAAAAAAAAAAACCTATACCCTAAAATTTATTCTACATCATTGGTGCTCATACCATTTTTAAACACATTGTCAAACTGCAAATGAATATCTCTAGTTATGTGAACAGCTTCCTACTTTAAAACATAGGAAATCAGGGCTGCAGAGTTGACTTCATGGTTAAGAGCACTGGCTGCTCTTTCAGAAGACCCAGGTTCAATTCTCAGTACCCACATGGCAGCTCACAACTGTCTGTAACTCCAGTTCCAGAGGATCCAGCACCTCATCTAGACATACAGGCAGGCAAAACACCAAGGTACATAAAATAAAAATAAATTTAAAAAACATAGCAAATCTTCTGCTTTAAAATAGAAAAAAGTTAGAGTGCTTTACCATCCCCCAAAATGTACATATCCATCCAATATGTGCCTTGGAAACAGATAAGAAGGCTTTTATAAGCAAAAATGGTCAAGGCACCAGAGACCAGGCCTACAGTGCTAGATAACATGTCTCAAAAGACAGATAGATGAGAGAGTGAGAGAGAGAGAGAGAGAGAGAGAGAGAGAGAGAGAGAGAGAGAGAGAGAGACTTTACAAAGTGGGTAACAACTCACAACCCTTGTAATTCAGAAAAACAAAAACAAAAAATAAAAAAATAACCCACTAACTTGTTGATTGAAAAATACTTGATTGGACACTGAGAAAAAGACTTATTTTACCCAAAGGAAAAAAAAGGGGGGAAACTTGGGGGGTTATTTTAAACCCAAAGTTTTACTGATCCTTTTCTAAATCTTCTTTGTTTTAGTAATTCAAATTAGAATATTAATCAAAACAACTTATCAAAATTGTTTCCGGATCAATTCTTGTAAGATACAGTCTAACAAAAGTTTTGTTTTGTTTTTAATACTTTGAATGGCAGTTGCCTCTCAGCCTCTTTAAAAGTTCTTTTCTAGTTGAGCTGCTATTACTCAACCAAGGAGGATGGGTCATTCATCCTCATCTGTGCTCAAATCAGGCTTGGTAGAAGCTCAGATCTGAGTCTTTGGAATCCAGACAGAAGCAAGCTTCTGGAACTAAAGATTTCCAGCCTGTGGATTATGGTGCTGAATGTTACAGAGGGTGTCTTCTACATCACCTCCTCCTCAGAATATGACAAATAAAAAAAGGTATCTGTTGCCATTGAATTGACAAACCTGGAACCATATGGCATTCATGTATTTGACAGGAATTACTTATTGACTCAATAGTAGAGAATTAAATATTGTTTCATTAAATTAATAATTTCAGGTCTTATTATCAGTTTTATTTTATGCTAATATATCCTTAATATGAATATGTGATACATCTAAATGACAACTAATTTTTCTTACATACCAGTTTATTGTGAAATGTGGTCTGTTAAGTTTTTAATAATATTCTTTTAATAATTTCTTGTTGTCGTACTTGATAACAAGTATGTAGAAACCATGCTGGCTAAAAAAATCTAGCTCACTGTTTCTCAAATATG